GACTCCTAGCCATGGAGCAGGCGAATGCGTCGCTGCATGCGACGGTGGAGCGCTTGGCTCCATTAGAAATGGAGGTTGTGACTCCGTGCTCAGAACTAGTTGCTGGTTTAACTTTTGGGTGGCCGAGGGCCCGTAGGATCTGCTCCGGCACCAACGCATCCGCATTCACTTGCGCCGGATCCGCTGACATGTCAGCAATCATACTGGTGGAAACATTGAAATAGCTTTAATTGCGAACAGAAAACTAAGCTACAGAACCGGATACGACGAACACAAACGTAATAGTGCGAGCTGATTAATAATCCAGTTGCGATTCGTGAAAAATTGTAAATTGTTGCTTCAACCCCGACGTCCCGAAGGTGGCGCATTAGAAGACGCTCAACAGCATACCAATTAAAGTTTGGAGTTCCGTAGCCAATACGGGGCAGATGAAATGTAGCCCCATTTGAATAACACTATGCGCCAAGGCCTCTAACAAAGTTTTCAGTGAATTAAGCCGAGAGTCTGAGGATTTTCCTTGGCGAGCGACTACTTTTTCCAGTAAGTCCTTGCACGACACATATCCGTCGCACGGTGCGTTCCTAATATTCCCTGTTAGTCTAATCAAGTGTGCACCACCGAGTTTAAGATCATGCCGCTTCGTACTGATTTTGGATAGAAGGTGAGAGAGCAGACAAACTACGAAAGAAGCCGCGCGAGCACCAAACACCGCTATTGTCGACACAGTGAGCAATAATGTATGGCTTCATCCGTATACTTGTGAGAGGAGGATGACTGGCAACACCGGATTTGTAATATAGCTGTCCGAAATTTGTCGAACAGTCACTGCTGTCAACATCATGCGACGTAGATGACATCGATTTATCTTTAGGTTTGATCACTGCAGATGCGTACTTGTTGGCATCCGACTGAGCAAGTTTACGCACAAGCGCGTTTTTTCGACGTTCATCTAGCAGCCGAGCGTGCTCCAAACTAGCCACTCGGCATCCTGCAATTTGGATTAATAACTTTTGTATATTCTTTCCCCTCAGAATAGTATATATGATCCTCTCGAAACTCACCACCTGAATCAAGAAGCTCCTCGCTCGCACAAGGCTGCACAATTTTTTCATCACAGCTTGCAGGATCTGCAGGCAAACAAAGCGAATCTCGAGCTAGAATGTGCTTGATGTATTCATCCTTTAAAAGTTTCATTAGTGCATCTTCGTTCTCTCCTACACTCTCGTGCATAAGTTCATGCAGTCTAAACTGAAACATGTCGATGAAACCATATTTTCATCGTCACTTTTGTTGTCTTCGTCATTATGACGCGCAAGATTACGAATGCGACCTGCCATCCGCACCTTCAAAGAGCGTCTATAAATGCTTTCTTCGACAGAATTTGCGTACAGAAACTTGATTACGTGAATTAGTTTCGTCTGACCAAGTCGACACGCACGTGCAACGGCTTGCAAATCGGTTTAAGATTGTAATCTGAGTTCGCGAAGATCACCGTATCGGCGCTATAGAGATCTAATCCTAAATCCCCTGCTCGAGTAGAGATTGGAAAACAAACGTTTCCGGATCTTTTTACAGCGTTCAATGCTCTGCCAGCGCTCTTTAACACGTACATACCCGTCAATTCGTTCGTAAGCAAAGCTTTCGAGCGCCAAAAAGTCCTGAATAATGTCCAGAAATTGCGGTGACAGACTAAATAGCAGTACTCGATGATTTTGTTGTCTCAACTGTGGTAAGATTTGATTCAGAACGAAAAGCTTGCCACTATTTTCGTACAGGTGACTTCCTTTCCTAAAAGACTCAGGTTCTGCTCCTGAGAACAGGTACGGATGGTTGCAGGCTTTTCGTACTTGTCAGAATATTAATTAATGAGACGATCCGAGAACGTTCGAAACCACGTTTAGAGAATATTGAAGTGTCTATCCACAGCAGAGAATTTGATGCGTTAAGTACTGACTTCGTTACTTCTGCTGCGTACGGTAGAAGATGTGCAGGAAGCGTTCACTCTGCCACCATTGACTGAAGTAGTTGTGCATACACCAATGTCAGCAATGCATTGCGCGAACTACAAGGACTGGAGAAACCCCAGTGGCTGAAGAAGAGGGTGATTGCAAGAAATGCCGAAGTCTTTAATGGTGTAGCAAACAGTCACAGGAGTAGGGTATGTCAGATGCAGGGCGGGCGGGATGCTTTTTAATTCTGATGCATCTCAGTGCTTAATGCAGGGTCATAAATACTTGGATTTGATGCTGACAACAGCGCTCAGATCGTTTTGTATAGAAATTCCTTTGACAATTTTCAGCGCAATTTAGTCAAAACGATGTTGTAAAGTTGAGTTTTTCGATTCTTCAAACGGTGGCCTTCATTCATGATTAATAATTCCCACACGTATTGTGGAAGTACTTGTAGTCGGATAGTAGCATTTCATAAGATGTCACGACTACTAGTGCTTTTTTGCAGGTTGGTCTCCGACGTCTTTTGCATTACTTTCCGGTCTTTCGTTGGACCAACGTATACACATGTCGAGATGCTGGGTGCAAATTGGTTAAATTGCTTCATCCAGTTGGGCAGTACGCTCAGTGGTGCGGCAACTAGGTATTGATCACCTTCACCTTCATAATGCTCTCGGTTTCTAGCGACTAGAGCAGCAATGAACGCGATAATCTGCAGCATCTCGCCAAGCCCCATCTCGTCTCCAAAAATGGGGTTTAGCCTTTGCTCATACTTCCGCAGCAGCCATTGTAGCCCTGTAAGCTGATAGTAAGTTCACGTTGTGCAGTAAAAACGGTTGAGCTATGACCTGATCAGCAAACGGCGTTGGCTGCTAGCTCGAGCTTGTGGACGACTTTTTCCATTGGTAATGTATCTTTGACCATCACTCATTGAGCAATCAAATTACTGATCCTCTTATGCGAAGACCATGTCGACTGTACGCCGGCCGCGAGTGCTGCTGTGTGCCAGCGGTAGCGTGGCGGCGGTCAAAATTCCCGAAATCGCTAATCGACTGACAGGAATGGCGGAGGTGGGAGCTGAAGACTTAACATGTGCGCATTCGGAGCTCAGGTGGTTGTTTTAAGGCAGGTGTGCGTGGTATTAACTAAGTCGGCAGACTTCTTTCTCAAACGCGCCAAGGATTATGATGCCGCGGCTCATACACAGTTCTGTACAGCAATACATTTACCGGATGGTGACCAGGGAAAAATAACGATCGTTCGCGACGAGGACGAGTGGAAGACCTGGAACGTTGTCGGAGACAGCGTACGCCATATTGAGGTGTGATCGAAGCGAAACGCTGCTGTTAATTTGTCACTCATTATGTGTTGCTGCAGTTAAAGGATTGGGCGGATGTGATGTTGCTAGCTCCATTATCAGCAAATACACTTGGAAAGCTTGCGAATGGTCTAGCAGACAACCTTCTTGTAAGTGAAATGACAGAGCCGTTTGAATTTTTATTTATGATTGTCGCCTTTCTCGATAGACGTGCATCGCTCGAGCATGGATCCCGTCCAAGCTATTTATATTTGCACCTGCCATGAACACGGACATGTGGAACCATCCGATCACAGCGACGCAGCTTCGCGTGCTGGATGAGCTTGGCTACAAGATGATACCTCCTGTAGAGAAAAAATTGGCCTGCGGGATATTTGGTACGAAGCCTTTAGGGCATACCGAGACATGTTTAAATTTGATTCATTTTTGTCCTTCGTGTAGGCAAAGGAGGCCTCGCAACAGTCGACACTATCGTCGCCTACACCCTCGACCAATTGCGGCGATTATCTCTCATTAACTAGCCTAAAAAGGTAAATGTGCGCTCTAAAAAGGCGTCTTAGCCTCAACATCTTCGATATCAAGCTGAAAAATCTCGCTGATTGCCTCGATAGTAGCATCCTGCACATCTCTAATTGTCGTGTCTGGCCGAATGCGATCCATGCTCGTGACACCATAATCATCAATACCACACGGAATGATTTGATCAAACGCGCCTAAATCCGTCTTGACGTTCAGCGCAAAGCCATGCATGGTCACCCAGCGACTTGCATGCGTTCCGATTGCACAAATCTTGCGCATTTCATAAGACGTGCAAGTCCCTGACTTTTCCCCGACCCAGACTCCAGTAAGTCCGTTCATACGCTTGCCTTTGATGTCAAACTTGGCGAGGGTGCGAATTACCACTTCTTCAACCTGGCGGAGGTACCAGTGCAAGTCTTTTTTGTACTGTGTCAAATCCAGTATCGGATAGACTACAACTTGCCCGGGGCCATGGTATGTGACTTCGCCTCCGCGGTCAACTCGAACTAACTTGACGTGCTCCTTCTCTGAGTCAAATTTCACATTATTCATGGTGCCACCTCGACCTATTGTATACACGCTCGGATGTTCCAAAATAAGCACCGCATCCTTTTCCAAGGACTGACCAGAACGTGTAGCCAGCACACGCTCCTGGATAAGTTGCTTCTGCCAGTCCCACGCAGTCTCATACTCAACGCTGCCTAAGCGGTACGCGACACACTTACGTCTTGGCTGTGGCGTATGTAACGCTGGCATTTGTGTAGATAGTAGGCGTATTGATATGGCTACATTAGACTGGAGTTTTGCAGATGATAATCTTGCGGCCTTCCAGCCGAAAAGCGCGCCCATTACGGACTTACGCGCTAAGTTCGTTTATTTGCAAACTTAAATTGCCAAAGCTCAAAAATGCGAGGGAACGCTCACAAGGCTGGCGCCAATACACGCGAACTGCTTTTGGAGCTTGCCCGGATGCCAGATGCAGCGCAAAATGCAATAACACTCTTTAAGTCCCACGCGGTAGCTCTTCTACGCAATACCAGGGCTGACAATTCATCTCCAATAGTGTTGACTTTGTTAAGCGCGGCAGTCGAGCGTCGCGAGCCGGAATGGACTCGCTCGCTAACAAAAGATCGACATGCCAAGCGCCAGTGTTTAGGCAGGAAAAATAAGCATGACGTAGTATTTGCAGCTAGAATGGCACAGAACCTCGTGAAGACGTATGCAAGCACAAACGGTAGTGCAGTTAAAGCGGGAGGTCAGTCGGTGCCCAGGAAATGTTGATTTATGGAATGCTAATACTCGACGATATGTATTAGAATTGAAGGTTTTGATTACGTCAATGGATTTGGCATGTATGGCTCTGTACATAGTGTGTGCTTTGGAGCATACGGCAAAACTTGGTGACCTCGTGGTCGACAATCTCCTTTACCAGGTTGCCAAAAAGTACGCAGAGATGCCTGACGTGAGTGACGTCATTGAGTGCTGACTATTTTAGTCTGAAAATTTGCTGATTATTAATGGGTAGACTTTGGAGTCAGCATTCTGTGTGGCTGCTTGCGTTAACATTCGCCTTTGGACTGCACACTTTGAGCTTAGCGATAAGAAATCGAGTGGAACATTATCATTGCTGAAGATTACCGAGTGCTTAGAAAAAGATGCAGCTGCTTTTGGCAGCAGAGCGGTGAACGACCTAAAGTCCTTAGTGAATTTACCGCCTCCAGAAAGCTTCCATACAGCATCATTTGCGCGATTGCTACTTGGTCACGCCAATACCTGCATCTCATTGTTATCGTCTTTAAAGGATTACAAGGTACTGAAGAACTAGCGCTGTGCATGATTTCTGTTTTTAATGTGAAATCTTTTAGAGTGCGCTTGTCGTGGCTGAAACTACAATGTCGCCGTGGCTCTCTTACTTCCAACAGCTTTCTGGCGAAAATGCAAAGTTGGCCTCTTCGTTCAGTGATCGTGCGTTTCGAACAATGTGGAAAATTGCTGCGGCGATTGACAGCGCCCAAGCAACGACAAACACATCGACTGATGCACTTCAGTTTCGTTCGGTGGCACTGTCATTTTTGCTTAAATGCTCCAATTACACCTCTAAATACTATATACAGCAGGTAATTATACAGCGTTAAAGACCTTGATAATTCTACATAGCCTTAATCCGAAGCTTCGTAGGTTCACCGCGTTGGAGTTCAGCACGAGCGCCTCACGAAACGATCGCAACAAGGATTGAACGAAATTTTTGGATTATATTGCCAGTCAGCGAATTTGTTGAGTGAATACTCGCCCATTTCGACATGCATATACAACGTACGTAGTATCTTCTCTATGATTTACACTTGATGGATACTTACGTCTGTGTATATGACTTGACATGCTGGATAGTCCGAATGCTGTCAATGGGAATATATCTACTGGCTCGAGCATTTTGCTTTGATTTGTGAATTATCTGGTATGCACGTGAAATGTGCACTGGTATTTGAACATGCAATCCAATATGTGCAGCTGTATACGAACGTCGGCAGACACATTGAGTTCTGTCTAGCATCGTCTGCTGCTAGTGCGCTACTTAATGCGGCGAATCTCCAAAAGCAAGACAATAACCCATTCTTATGGAATTCGATATGCGGCTCTGCAATTTGCACGATATCGAAAACCGCAGGCAGAATGATACGCGATCTGCACGATAAAGTAATTACGGACGAATGGATTAGTCAATGTGAAAATGTTGCACGGGTGTATCTGAGGCGACTAGAAGCTTTGTTACCTCTCAAGGTCGAACTGCTAGACGCAAATGAGTCGCCTGGGCTGGACCTTATAATTCGCCTCATTAAACGAAGTGCCACAAAACTTTTTAATTATGTTGTCAGTGCTCAATGTACAGCAAAATACCAGCGGTATAGCCAAGTCATCACGAGGTATATAATTTAGATTGTGTGGTTGCTCTTGTTAATCAATCTAACGCGTATACTGCAGTTTTGATATCATGTGCAAGGCTATTAATGAACTTTCTTTAGCGATTGCTGGCTCGAACAATCATATTGTGAAATTGATGCTTGTGGAACAACTAAGACTCAATCGAATGGCTGTTACGCTGTCGGCTCGAGTTTTTATTCTCGATACTTTGACAACAGCTGAATCTGTGTTGTCTGAGCTTCTTGGACATATCGCTTCAGTTTGTAAAAATTTGGACAGTGCGATTGAGCAAGGCAAACTAAATGGATCGATTTTAAATGAGATTCATGCCGACTTATATCTGATCACACGAGAAGGTTACAGCTGTGCGAGCCACTGTTATAAAAAGGGTAATCACCAAGAGGCAACATTGGTACTACTTAAAGTGCTCAAGCTTGGGAAAAGCTACTTAGAGTTTGTTATGCAGAGCGACCTAAACGCGGAAGATAAGCATAAAGCTCATGCTGAGGTTAAATTGGATGCTGTCGCTTCCCTTCTTGTGCATTGCTTCCGTGTGTTAAAAGACTTTACAAAAGCACGTTTATTCACTGGATATACAATCATGTACTGTCAAGATCTCGTTGATTGTATTTCGCAAGCCAATGTTAATACGTATATTCGCTGTCTTCTGGATGAAGTGAAGCTCATAGATGACAATGCACAGGAATCGATTCTGAATGAATTTGAAGCTTTTTTGCACGATACGAGTCAAGTTTTCAAGTCTCGATTGGTAGCTGAGGACCAAGTGATGATGTTGTGGATGGAATTTCGAGATGCATTTAACCAAACATCCGCTAAGATTACCTTAAGTTTACAAGGAAATGAATATTCCCAATCAAACAATGATATTAGTGTTTCCTCCCTGAGGTGTGTTAAATTGTTCGGCTTATTTGAGCACCACATCAATGAGAAGCTGCTTAAAATGAAGACGGAGTCAGCGGGCAACAAATCATCGTGCAAACTTTTGCAAAATGTCTCTTTTGCTCTGATTCGGCGAAACCAGATCTTTTCTAATTGTTACGCCAAACGCAACGTTCTCGATACAGTAAAGGAACTTTTTCTCGTTTACCAGTCCCTAAGTGACGCGGTAAATGGCCTTTTAGAGCTTGCTGATGCTTTGAATGGTGATCTTGGTGGAATTTATGGATGGCGTGGTGTGATCACGATGGAAATCGCTCTTTTAGTTAGCTATAAGGGCTCCTCGGACAAATTTCTATCGAAAAATAATCTACCTTTGGGCGAAGAGAATGCTGTAGCCGATATCAAACGATCTTTAAGCTACTGGGGCGAGAAATTCTCTAGTGGCTTTTTGTTTGATGGACTATACTTGATCCAATGTTTGGAATCCATGTGCAATACATTATCCTTAACTTCATCCGCACAACAAAAAATGGCAGCCTGTAAGCTTCTGAAGACATTACAGCTGTCTAAATGGTCTTCAAATCCCATACTCAGTATCTTGCCTCTTCCGCTCGGACTGCAAGCCGTTGACTATCCCGACACTTTCTTTGCTAATGAAGTAAATTCAACTGTGTCATCAAATGCGAGCTTTCACAATGTCATGAACCTCTTTGGAAGGGTAGATAGAGAGCTGTTTGCTGCGAAAACAAATCAAATCTGTACAAGCAAAGATCGAGCATATCTTCTTTTACTTAATGCGGTGGTAATACTGAGTGAAATCAAGCAAAATGTGAAGAATTGCTGGACTGCAACAATGGCCAAGGCAGTTGGGATACGTGAATTGCTAGCTCACACGATTTTATCAGACATTCACTTCAGTGAAGGCCAAAGCACATTTGCTATCTCTGAAGCTAAATGTGCGCTGCGGGTGTGTTGGAAATTGGTAAGGAAATTTACCGCCCTGACGTCACCTGTTGAAGTCACATACTTTAGTCTTCCTCCCGAAATCGCAGTTGCAGAGGATCAGCAACGCGCAACATCAAGCTTCTTGCGCTTTATGGCACTGGATTGCTCTTCATGGGATCTGCTCCTTGTCACCAAGGTTTTGTTGTGTCGGTTGTCATCTCTTTTCAGTCTGTCTGACCAGCCGCACCGGTATTTGCTTCATTCATTGTAAATAAGTTCGAGCTAATTTTTGCATTATGCTGTGCTTAGAGCTGAGTTTTATTTAACAGAGGCGATGCGTCTTGTTGGTGGCTTGGATCTGCAATTCTTTCGTCGGAGCCCATTTTACGAGTACGCAGAGCTTGAACTAAATGCAAACAAATTGGAGAAAGCAAAAGTATCCATATCTTTGCTGAACTCAAACTTGAATTTTGAGCGTGGTGCTATAGTTAGTTGTGATCCAGCAATCATCGAGCAAAGCTGTGATGAAATTGTGCAGCAAGGAGATGTATACCTTAGTGAGGACAAGCAACAAGAGGCATTGAAATGTTATACAGATGCAATTAATATGGTGGACACCCTTAAAGATCATCAGTCGTTCGAAACCAAACGGTTGGGACGAGTTAAGGCTCGCTGTTGGCGCAAATATACCCGACTACAAAGCCAGGCAAACACATTCTCGAATCATGCGGCAGTGGAAACACTGCTCAGATCGATGAAAATTCTTAAGCAATCATTAAACTCGTGTGCTGTTCTTCTGGAACGGGTCAAATGCATGCTTGAAGTAGGACGCATCAATGTAAGATTGTTGCAGTCTGTCTCAACTCGTGCATTTACTAGCTTGGCACAAACGCAATCAATTTTAGAGGAAGCTTATTGGCTTGGAAGTAAGCTTGGTATATCATATCTCAACCACGAATTGCGAAAAGCACTGGGCATGGCTTATTTTACTGAATTTGAGGAAGCCAGGCAGGACAATATGGATAACAAAGTCGGATACAAAAGAGCTACTTTTCTTTTGTGGGCAAGTAGTGCTCTACTGGCAAATGGTGGGAGTGGTGATGGCATCGAAAAAGAGCCAAAATGTGCTGATAGAAATGGCGATGGAGGGATAGAAAACACTTTAAAAAACAAATTAAAGCGGCGGCGTGGAGGCTCAAAAGTATTTAAAAGGTTAGCTCCGCATCAACATCTTGTACAAATAGCACAAAACTTTGCCCAGAAGGTTCAGCAGCTTCCAGACAATTGGATAATTATTTCCCTAATGATAGGCTTGTCGTCCGAGCTCGTCGTGACGCGTATCCCAGTACGTAAAGTTTTGGCATAGAACTACCATTTATCACTCTAACATTGCGTGCGACCTAGACAAATGGGGATGTTCCTACGTCTTTCTGCTTGCCTAAGGTAATCTGGATGAAGTGCATTGATGAAATGTCCGGAATTGTCAACAAATCAAGGTACGTTACACTTGGTGATATTTCTCACTGCCTAGCTAAACAATGGCGCTCACAACGTAGAGAGCTTTTATCTGGACACACCGCGGAAGAAGCACGATTATGGAGTAATGAACAGAAAAAAAATTGGTGGGGTACTCGTCAACATCTCAACACACGCATTGATGAGACAATTGTCTCCATGCAGGTAAGGATGAAGTGTTCGATCTAAAGCTCGTTGTCTGCAGTAAATTTATCACGCTCTTGTTCGTATGACGTAAAGCAATCGCTTGGGTTTTGGCGATGTCTGTTCGTCGGAGGGCCCGAAATTGAGAGTGAAATAGTCCAACGTTGCTGGAGTTTGCTGACCGACAAATCTTCCTTCATAAAGTTGGCCGAAAGAAACTACAGTCTACTGTGTGCAATCGTTAATGCCCAGGACTATTTGTCAGATAGTGAACTGGTAGATGGACTACAGCACATTGCGGCAGAAACTGAAGTGCCAATGTCCAATGCAATATCAAGAAAAATCCTTCAGATTCTTCGGTGTAGTCGCGACGGATTACCGACGAAAGCGACCCACTCCAATCTCACCACATTAAGCACGGACAAAATCGCTAAAATGAAACTCGGCGAGGTCAAACAGCTTCTCGCTGCTCAGGGAATCAATACCGATGGCGTCAAGAAAGTACTGATGAAACGCCTCCTGGCTGCCCGAGATGCTGCTCTTATCAATGAGATGAAACCGCAGCCAAGATCTGTTAGCGTCGAAAAGAAATTGAAATTTGCTACCATATTGATTTTAGATCACCAGCTTCAGCAATTTCCGTGGGAAGGCATGGATGTAATGGACCTTTGCGCTGGAGTGACCCGCATGCCTTCCCTCGACATGGTTGTGCAAAACTTCGCGTCATTAGCGCCAGTCCGAAGAGATCGAGTGCGTTATTTGCTGAATCCTGCGGGGGATCTTAAGTCAACAGAATTACAGTTGGGACCGATTCTGGAACGTGGAGTCGCAACGTATGGATGGGAAGGGATGGCAGGAAAAGTACCTGACCAGAATACAATCAGGTATGCGCTAAAGAACCTATCACTTTTATCGTTATTGCTCGTCATGTTTCTCACTACTGCTCCTGCAGAGACTATTTGTTGGCCGCTGACGTATATATTTATTGCGGCCACGGCTCCGGCGAAGCATACCTGCATCGCGACAAGGTTCTTGACCTTAAATCCAATTGTAGTGCCGCTCTGCTGTTTGGTTGCGGCAGTGGACGACTTGAGCGTGAGGGAATCTTTGGACCAAGCGGTACAGTACTATCGTACTTGCGAGCTGGAAGCTCTGCGATTCTAGCGATGCTGTGGGACGTCACTGACCGAGATGTTGACCAACTGAGCTGCAAAATCTTAGAAGAGTGGCTTTTAGCGCACAACGAAGAGTCATTGGCTCAAGTGCTTCAAACCAGTCGAGATGTCTGCAAACTCAAGTACCTTAACGGACACGCCGCAGTTTGCTACGGACTTCCACTCCACGTTGCACAAAATTAGATGCAAACCAGCGAGCAATTAAGTATTGCGTAGCTGCGTGTAAATACTCAACTGCTGTTTTGAACTGACCAATCATTGAGCGTCACTGACGTGGCGAGTCGTGATCATGATTTTCTCACAATAAGCATAAAACGAGTGGATGGTTCTGTGCTCTACGCCACCGGCCCCGCTGGCCGTCGACGTGGCTGCATGTCGCTTGCTGATGCACAAAGTGGCTTCATCAACTGCCACACGTGAGTATATGCGTGTATTAGCTGTAACGACTTACGGACGCTGTGTGCTTGGACTCGGTATGGTAACGAAGCTTTGCTATCTAACAATTTCAACACTGACAGTACTTGCTATTACTGACAATAGCGGGATTTCTGACAGTTGCGACTGAGCACATCGCTGCGTTCGTCAAGTGCATGTGCGATGATGTAAGAGAGGATGACATTAAGGTTGTGCGTGAGATTCTGCTGCTGCTAGCTTTGACGGTTGTGGATGAGGATCATGCGACGTATATTGGTGAGTCCGTTTTGGCGACAGAACATCGCTACTTGCTTCTGATCACTAAAAGCTTTATCATTTTAGCTCGCATTGGAGCACATCCGTTGTTAATGCGTTTGATGGAGCACGGCAACGAAGACATCGAAGAGGTTGGATCGCTTGCAACATGTAACAAAGCACAGATTACATTTGACCTGATGGATTATACATAGGCTGCAGCAAAGGTCGTTACAGCATGTACGAGCAGCCCGTCTGCAGTAACATTTCCGCATCGCGTGCGTGAAATCGAAGAAGTAGAGCTTTTGTGGCCTCTAGCAGCACTTTTGCCGCTCGATCCTCGCGACGATGTCCCCAAAAGTGCTGATGAGAGTACAAGTACTCTCCAGGTACTAATTCGTCAAGTGCCAACAAGAATGACGGGCCAGAACAAAACTGGATATCGTTTATGGGGCGCGGCCTTCATTCTTGCACGCTGGATTCACAAGCACCGCGATATGTTCGTGAACAAAAGTGTGCTTGAAGTGGGCAGTGGTCTTGGACTCGGAGGCATTACCGCAGCTCGATATGCAAATCACACGACTCTCACCGACTATCAGTCAGATACGTGCTCAGCACTTTCTTACAATGTACGACTTAACAAATCGTTCACACACGAGCTTGATGCCTCAAAGCCAGAAGTCAAGGTATCACTTCTTGACTGGGATAGCACCGATAGCATCGAGGCTTTACCGAAAGCTGACGTTGTGATTGCAAGCGATATTATCTGCGAGCCAAGCACAGCTGAAGGATTTTTGCACGTTGTGCGCCATCACATTCAGAAAAATTCTGATAGCGTGGCATACCTCATGAACGCCAACAGCCATAGTCGTTTTGGGATTACCCACTTGCATGCACTCCTGGCTGCAAGTATCGACCTTTCTTTCACCGTCACCCCAGTTCATGAACTGTCTGACGGCGCGGACCTTCTTCAGACAGTCAGCGATGCACAAGAGCTGTCTTACGAGTTCTACGAGATCCGTGCTACCTCATAGTAGACCCGTTTCAAGTTTTATCAATTCATCAGATTGCATTATAGAGTTGAGATCAAATCATATTTAGACGCTGCCTTTGTCGACTTTTGCTATACAAGAATGTTATATCTTTCAGGCCCAGTGCAACGCTGATCATCGGGAAAGCCGTTCCCGAATGGGTTCAAGTTGCCAGCAATACCAGTGTTTGTACAGGAACAGCGCCCTGAACCACATCGATTAGACTTCGCACGTTGCAACTGCTTTTCGCGCGATTGAAATTCCTGCACAGGCCGAGGACAGCTAAATGGCGACCTCATCTGCAATCGCTTCCACATAGGGCTGTGCTGGCACAAAGTCCGTTGTGCAGCATTCAACTTGCACGAATTACACGTACGACAGACGCGGTCGACACCTGCTGCGCATAAAGATACTTCAAACTCGTCCAGTGTACATTGAGTACACGGTGCACACACGCGATCCGTCATTGGAGTGCATGCTATCGAAACGTAGTGATTCGAACGACATTCTGTGCATGCTAAAAGTCATATTGCGTTAAAAGCGGTGGTAGTTAGAAGCAATCTCGCTCAGTACGTACGATAGCAAACTGTATCTTGCAAAGCGCTGCAAACTTCAATAGCATAGGAATTTTGAGGACATACGCTGCACGGAGCGCAAATTCGGTCCTTTAGATCCGAACAGGACTTCGTAAGAAAGGATCCGTCTGGACATCTCGAGCAGTCTGCTGCCGAATGCTGAAGCATATTGCTAGCTACTCCGACAGCTTTGACGGCATTTCCAGCAAAGTCTGCCACGAATGTACTTTTGATTCCAAGAAACGTACGTGCTCTTGTAATACCAATTCGACCCGCACCGAAACTTCTTAATGCTGTGACGTCGGTTTGACCAATTTGTAAAGTAAGAATTGTGTCATCTGCAGTACGCTGCCCAGCAACATTTACTGAATCTAGTTCCGGCATAACAACATGTGTAGTTGAAGGCAAAAGTCTGTAGGTCTCAATACCGGCTGCTGTCTCAGCAAGAGTCAGGGCTTCAATTTGTACAGTCCTTCTATCCACAGCCTCGGAAAAGTGGAGCATTAGTAATTGTTGTGGTAAGTCCAAGCTGTAGCCAACAAGAACGGGAGGCAAACTATCTGGCGTGAACATTGAGACAGTCAGCGCTGCACTTGTGGGGACTTCCAAAGTCAAGAGGGAAGAGCATACAAAGTTTCCGGAGCTCTGGCAGTCGTCAAGCACATGCTGGAAAAGACCAGCTTTTGTGCTTAGCAATATTGCGTTTGCATTTTCTACAAAATTAACCATACGCTTAAGCGAGTTTAAGTCTTCAGGACCAATATTGACCACAATCGAAGTTCCGTCAGCGCTTCTTGTGGTACTTTGTCGGGCGTTAAATTGAAAAGTGATATCTACCTTTAGATTGGACTGAAGCAGTAATTTTGTGACTTTGAGTGTCGACGCTCGAGCCGGAATATTTGTATGGAGCGTCAAAGTCCCAATAGCCATGTTCAAATCGAACGAAACCAAATGTGGTCCTTGTGCTATTCCCTTCAGTATCACTTGGAGAACATTGCACTCGCCAAACTTTGCACCAGTTACATCCGACAATTGCAACCAAAATGAACGAGGATGCGGGTCATAACTTGGTGGGATCAGGATCCTCAAAAGCACCTTCTTCACTTTAGAGTCTTCATTCACCCAGGTGACAACTTCTGTCAACGACTCATAATCAACGCCTGAGCTTGCCGTGTTCGCTATGCTTTTCACGGTTACTTGTGCTGGTACAAATAATGCTGCGAAGTTGCGCTGGAGAACCACTGACAGTACTCCTGGCTCTTCCAGCATCACATTCGGGCAAAATTGGTGTCGCATTTTGCCGCGGGCTACAAGGTTTGAAAAGCTGAGATTAGAATTCAATAGCCCTGAATATTCAAACTCGGAAGCGGCAAAGTTAATTTCGCTATGATACTCGTTGGTGGGGCCAGTGATCTCTATAAACGAAATACTGGCGTGTACATCGCTCAGTGAGGCTCCCTCGTTCTCTTGAAGTACGAGCATTAAACGTCGTGGCGATTCATCTGGATCTGCTCGTGCGAACAGCATACTCACAACCACTTGTCGATCGCTAAAATCTCCATCTTTCCAGTTAAGTTTTTGCTTTAGATGATCGTAGTCTAAACCAGCTTTAGCGGTGTCATCTTTAGTCGCAACTACGACGGAGCAGTCTCCGTCACTCCCATTAAGCCGTTGAATTGTTACAAGGGCGGCACCTCCTGCTAATGTCAAATATTTTGTACTGGCACAGTCTGGGTAGCAATCAGCGACGAATTGCAGTGAGCCCTGCCGAACGTCGTTTGGACCTTTAATTCTTACAAGAATCTCAGGAATTATTTTACTTCTTTCAATTCTAATGGCGTCTTCTTCTTGAGGCTCCACGCCGACCAGACGTACTATAAAACTCTCAGCTTGCTCATACAAATTATCATTATTCACTCTAAGACTAATGTTTTGCAATTGGGTAGCATCATTCGCAAAATTGTTGTCGCACTTCCATTCCAGAAGCTGAGAGACTGGTGATACCAACACAAAGTCCATTGGAAAGCATGCAGTATTACAAATGATTTCGAAATTCACGCTAGCCGTTAACATTGTAGTACTCGTCCAGAGCACTGGAATGATTAACTCTTCACCTTCTACGACATCAATAGCAGTATCCTGAAAAGTAAAGCTGGCAGGTATAACTGCAACAAAGAGGACATCAGCATCAAACGCTAAGAACTTCAAGTTACCTTCGAGCAGACGCACGCTTTGAAGACGGAAGAAGAACGACTTGTGCCTGATTGCGATCCGCATTAATGTGAGCACCAACAGCATCATGCAAAGCTAACACGAACGACTTTGGGTCTATTTGTGGCTTGCCATCGTTGTAAATTGGTACATAAAGGTCTTTATCGAAATCGTCACCATCTTGCCACACAAGACTAACATTACATGGCGATTTAAAGTCTTGATCTGCCACAGCATTGCCTAGCCCAGGGATCGTCGATACATACACAGCGGCTCGCCCGTCGGATCCAAGACCACGTTGAATGGAAATGGAAACGACTCCGAAAGCTTTTGTACTTGAATAAATATCATGAGAAAATTGAAATCGACCATTTGCATCAGCGGCCTGAACTAGCTTTGTGTAATACATATACCCTCTTGCACTGAACAAAACTTTCAGTACAAACAGCCATCGCCACATAGTCATTATCATCAATCAAGTAGCACAGGTTAAATTGGTCAAACTGCAGCGCTGTTGAAACTACACCGGCTGTTCACGAAAGTATCCTAAATTTCTTCACTTTATTCATACATTTTGAGCGTTTTCAAGTGGATACGGTGTTTGTAGCGCAGGGAGGCAAGATACCTGTCGAAAAGCTCGTAAAAATAGCCTTGACTTGGTCCATTTTATGTGCCGTTTGCGGGATTGATATCAAGAAACGAGTTCTGGAATGACTAGGTTCGATCGGAGGTTGCGAAATATTTCGCTAACGATACTGTTACAGCGGATGATGAAGCGCAATGAAGTTATTGTTGGGCAAGGCATACGACAGAAAGAGTCAAAACAGTGTCACTCAGTGAACTAGATGTTTGAAAAATGGTTCAACTGAGCTGAGGCATGACTGTACGACAAAGCATTGCTATAATCGACTGAGGAGCAGAAAGTCGAATAATCTATAGATGTTTTCAGCGAGAAGGCTGGAATCAGCTTTTTCATTTCAGATGTCGCCGCTATAACAATTAAAAATTCTCGATCCATCAATTTAAAATGGAAATGAGTAATGGAATGCAAGTTGTGTTTGATGTTCCAGATTCGGCCTCGAATCCGTATACTAGTTGAGATTTGATCACCTGAGTCAAATTGAACGCTACAGTGCCCAAACTCTTGTCAAGTCGAAGAGTTAGATGAGCACGCTTCTACTCAATTTCATTTGTCAATGGCCGACCTTGTGCTCTTTCCTCTGTCAGGAAAGTAGTCTGAAATACATGATCGGCAGTGATTCAAATGACATATCAATACCGCCAAGCCAGAATAAGAGCAGACGGGAGAGATTGTCGTTTGTGCAGGACACAGCGAAGAAAACAAATTTAGCCTTCAAGCAAATGGATCAGCCATACAGGCCACTGGCGCTGAAAAAAATGTTGATCACGTTGATTTACGCAACTCTAAAAGCTTTTTGAAGCACGGCGACCAATGCAAAATCTGGCGGAGCATACGATGTACAAGTTACTTGTAACACAAACTTGGTCGGTATTCAGTATTATTCCAGCCATCACGTTGAGTCAGGAATAGAAGTCAACACTGGATGACCTTGCTCTGAGGTGCCTGCATATTTGAATGTATAGCATTTCTGACTTCTCCTCTCAACTGTGCTGACTTTTGAATTTCTCAAACGACTGATTTAGAACAGTGAAAAGCTCTTTAGCCTCCAATTGCTCAGAAATCGTCGCACCGCGCAATTTGTCAGGGTGAACAACCCGAATAATGCTCCTACAAGAGTAAATGTTACTATTCTCTTACGATCACAAGGTAAATTGTAATGCTGGCCAACATCAAAGTTAACGCTTACCGATAGGCCTTGCGCACTGTATCATCGTCAGGCGATTGCACTACCATCAGCTGGCACTTCTTAAGCGCATCGCTTGATGAGATTTGGTCTAAAGTTAGGATCAAGTGCAAAAGCTCCTTGCCGAATGCCCACATCTCCACCCGCCGATGAATGTCTCCTCGAATGGCATCTGCTTCATCAGCTTCTTGCTTTTTTTTCAATTGTAGTTCATGGCGTTCGCGTAAACGTGCTTGTTGACGAAGATACAGCTCTGTGTCAGCTAAAGTTGGTTCAGGCGGTAGTGGGGGCGTCTCAGTTGACGTTATTTGTTCTTCCTCAGCTTCACTTTCTGAAGTTTTGCTCTCACTTCTACGCCGTCCATCAACATTCGCAGCATCATTCCCGTGTGGTCGCGGTTTATGAGTAAAAGCAGAAGGCGAAAAATGCTGAAAATCTTTGTGTTCTTTATGTTGCTTGCTATTCATTTGATGTCGCATTTGTGAAACACGAACTGTTTTCATGCTTGCCGGTCGTCGCTTCCCATTGCGCCTCGCTTGCTGTTGCTTACGTTTTCGTTCGCGTTCTTCTTGTGCCATTTTTTCCCATTCTTTTTCATACGCTTCCTTCTTTTTCGTCTCTTCATGCTCTTTTTCCTGCTTCAGTTTTAATTTCGCATTACGCTTTCGCGCCCGATCCTCCATGTACTCATTCATTCGACTTTTGCTTGTGCTTCCACTCTGAATTCTGCTCTTTTCACGATTTTTTAACGATGGTGGAGAGCGTGAAGATCGTTTTTCGGAGCGATCTTGGCCTAGTAAACTGTTTTTTCGGACGTTTCTGCGGGCTTCATTCTTTATTCTATCAGAACTTTCGTCGTCATCTGAGAACGAAGAATCCGATGAAGAAGATATTATCGAAAAAATGACAGTTCTTTTTGTATCTTCGATAAATGGCTGCTTTATTTCCGCATTGGAGTGGTCAGAGTCATCGTCTGAGGACGGTGACAGCGATGAAGACGATGTTAAAGCCTTTTTGACTTTCAATGGAGCTCCAGGGATGTCAATCTGCTCATGTGTTTTGGATGAATCAACAAATTGAATCTGCTTGTCGACAGCTTCACGTACTTCATCTTCTTCATCGTCACCCTTGTTTGATTCATTAGAGCTGCTCACATCCGCGTCAGTGATAGCATTCAGTTGCCGTGGCACATCTGAAGCACCAATAGGTAGTGACATGTCAAGCACAAATGCCGGTGGGGGGGGAGGCAATGGCGGCATATCTTCCTCTGACGAGTCGCTTGATGATGACTCGCTACCAAAAATGCTGTCACTTGACTCATCCTCGTGATGTGATGGAGACCTGGCCACATACATTCGAGGACGCTCCTTCAAAACTTTGCTTTGAGCTAATCCTTGACGCTGAGCAAGCGGCGATGGAACGCCATCAACACCTGTTGGAACGTCATCAACACCGTCATCTTCGTCTTTTGCAGGATGTGGCACGTTCTGGGGTGATGAAGTGCGCTTAAAACGAGAAGAAAGTTTCCCGAAAAACGTTACTGAGGAAGCAGATGACTTGCCGTTTGCTACAGCTGGTTTGTCCTCCAATGGTTTCTCTGGTGGATCCAAGGCGGTTTTAAACATTTGAACAGAAGCTGCGCGGCGTTTCCCGTCTCTCATCGAAAATTTCAGACCATCATCTGCACAACTCGATGCAGATAATCCACGGGAACGGTTCTGACTACGAGTCGCGCTCACATTATTACGAATCGGTGAGCTTACTTCAGGAAGCGATGGTGCTGCTAGAATAACTGAACCACCCACACTAGTTTCGTGATCAGGTACGAAGTCAAAGCTTGCAAGCTCGGTTTCGCTAGTGATAGTTGCAACACTGTCCCTTGGATTCACAGCACCATCGTTCGGCAAATGTAACATATCAGGGAGAAAACCCACCGACGCCGCTGTAGCTGCTGCAGTTTCAGCGCCCACAGATTCTTGAAGAGCAGTCAGCTGTTTACGCAGGTACTTTTTCTCGTGCTGCTCTTTCGCTAATTGAAAATTTAATCCTCGACTTATCGCCTCTGCATTTTCACACCTTTTCATCAGGCTCTGATATTCTTCACTTGCCACTATCTGCACCACAGAAAGCTGCTTGTGAGCCGTGTCCACCAATTGTTGCTCAACTTGGCACAATTTTTCCGCCAGTCGCGCATTTTCAACTTGCTGTTCCCGAAATTGTGCCTCTGTTGCTTCGAAACTTATTTTGTGTTTTCTTGTTAACATTTCGAGCTCCCGAAGTCGCTCTTGGTCTTTCAACTCGCGTTCTCGTCGATTAATCTCCTCTGTCGCTGTGACATCAGCTCGCAGTTGATCACACTGCGTACTCAATATGGCTACCTTTGCCTGGAGTTCATTTACTTGCAGCTCGTACTGTTCAGAATGTCGTGCCATCCTCTCACTTACTTTCATCAACTGCTTATTGCGCTTTTCAATGATGCGTTGACATTCCTTCGTGCGAATCACGCACTCCTCTTTCTCCTTATTGACTGCACTAAGTCTTTTCTCCAGATCTTCAGTGCGTTGCTGTGCAGCGTCTAGCTTTTCCCTAAGCGCCTTCAACTCTGACTGTTTCTTGCTCTGTCGAAGCTTCACGCGCTCATGGAATGTCTCAAGCGAGTCTCCAGCGTCATCATCGGCCTCAAAAAGCCCCTTCCGCTCTGCAAATTGTCTACTACTTTCTCCAACAGATGCAGATAAGGCTAGCGATTTTGCAGAGGTAGAAAACATAGTGCGACGCCGAACATCGCCGCTGGAGAATGAGCTAGAAAGCGTATTATCGAAGCGACTACGTGATGTGGTCCCAAGAAGCGGTGGAACTGCTCCTACGCTAGCTCTACCATCATCTTCGCCATTCGAAGTGTCGGAATCACTCGAGGAAGACGAAGAAGAAGAGAAAAGGCCACCATTGCGCCCGCGACTACTGTTACCTATCGGAGCTAGAACGTTCCAAATTGGCAAGTTAAAATTGCAATCAGACATAAAGATGGGAAACGGGATTGAGATAAGATGCTTATAAAGATGTACCTTCCGCTCTTGACACGACTGTGGCGCGCCGCATGATGTCACGAAGCCTTGGGCCTTGCGGATTGATTCTGAGAACAGCGTAAACAGGGGCACAGAGTTACTTTTTCAGAACAAGGGGTACGATTTGTGATAGATGCGGTACAACATATTTGAGACCTTTACTCGAAATCATTTCTAAGAAATGATTACTAAAGGTGTCAAGTCTAACGCCGAAGTCGAGACGCTAAAGCAAAAGCTACGGATGTCGGTAAATCAGGCGGTCGACGCTGTATGTAGCGAATGGGAACAGCGATCGACATCGCCGCAACCGTCGAATATGACAATGGAACAATCGTATGGTAGCTGCCGAAAACTCGTAGCTTACATATTGGCCAACATGGATACATCTCCAGGATTTGTGGAGCAAATGGATCGGATTATTCTTGCTTGTTTCAGTGGAGCATCTAAACGCGTGCTAAACGCAGTTGTGACACATAAGGTGTGGTTTCGGGCTTCAGACACGATGCAAGAGGGGGGAAAGGCGTTTAATGAAGTGACAACATCTTGCAATCGTCACAGAGAAAGCTCTAGAGCAAACCTAGCGTCCATCGAGGATGCGACAGTTCAAGATGACGTTGTTATTAAGCAGGAGAAATACGATGAGGTGATCACGTCCAATAATTTAGACGGTCCAGCTTTCAAAAGGCGTGAACTAGCGCAATCATTGCTTACAAAACGCCCACGAAGCAGAACCACCAAAATGAAGCTATCAACCAAGAAACGATTGCACGCACCTAATGTTATCAAGCCGAAGAAGCTGCTTCAGCGTCATTTGGAAGCGAACACCGCAATAAAAAGTGTGAAAGGCGACACTGAATCAGGTAATGAACGGAAACGACGAAAACAGCGAAAAGTGCTGCCAAAACAAACGAACATAATAAAATCTGCACCGCCAGTAGAGGATGAAAGAGGTTTGTTGACGTTCAAAGAGGCGATTGGAGAGTTGTGCTATCAAGAACGTCGTACATCCGAACAGACCGAGTTTTTTAAAGAGCGGTTACGCAAGTCCATACAGTTTGTAGATGCATTACTGTGCCGACCACCGCCAGGCAAAGTGTGCATGCAAAACTGTCGCCGCATTCGAGAAGGCATGTGTAAAAGTACCGCGCCTTGTCAGGATGAAATGTGTCGCATTTGGCACGATGTTGAGGCGCATACAGACCGTTGCGAGAACTTAAAATGTGAATTTAAACTACGAATTTTAGTGCGGGAAACCATGCACAAGCTCCATATTAAACAGTTGGAGACTAGCACTACAAACCAAAAATTGCGAAAAAAGACTGCAGCGTGGGACGACTTAAATGCCAGTGAGCTTAGCGAGCCTGGATCATTTACTGAAACTATCGCATTACTCGAAAGAGAAATTGAGGATTTAAAACGAAGCCTTGTAGCTGAAGAATCTGGAATTGCTGAGATCCATAACGCTTTACATCAATATTGGGCTACGCTGCACGAGATCGGGATTGAATCCAAACACGATGATATTGACCATTTTCCAGAATTTGGTGCGCATTATGCGATCAGGAAAAAGCGTAAATAATGGGATCCAACAGTGCTTTGTACATAATTTACAATAACAGCAAAATATTTTTTCTTTATATTTTTACCTCAAATTTCATAAATAAAATGAATGTATACACGATGGAAGGCCACCATACGAAAGCAAATTCTACGTAAGAACCAGGACACCCATAGCCAAAAAAAATTATCTGGGCGAAATACGAGCACATGGTTCTAAGAGCAATGGATGGATGTCTCGAATAGCAGTTCTAAGTGAATGTATCAAATTTCGTGGGACAAGGTTCGTATTACTGTCGGTCTGTGCTAGGTAACGTGAAGATAGACCCCGTCGTCATCCACAGCAGCAAAAAAACTCGCTCTTGGGTTTCGGGATTATATAGAGAGCGCCTTGGAATCCAGTTCTACGCGAAAACGAAGTCATGGATGAAGCGCGTTTTTTTCTTGGGATGGCCCCACCGCTTCAATCTCGAGATGCACAGCCGAAACCTATTGGAGGACAACGCGTCGTTCCACGACAGCATCGAGATCGCCAACGTCCGTGTGTGCTATTTTCCGCCCAAAATGACAACTTTCTTGCAGCCACTCGACGCTGGTATCATCAAGAGATTCAAGGGTAAGTACAAGAAGCTTCTTGTACGCTGGGTGGATGACCAGCTCGAGGTCGACGGCAACGTTTCGCGCATGGACGTTGTGACAACAATCAAGTTCTCCGTTGATGTGTGGGCTGATGTCAGTTCGAGTACTGTTCAGAGCTGTTGGCGCCATACGGGCATCGTACCAGCACTCATGTCGGCTGTGTTCAAGTCATCCAGCGACTATGTCGATGCCGACGATCTCCCCGATCTCAACGCACTCATTCGCCATTTCGACCTCGCCAACCCGCTCGACGCTGACGCCTACATCGACATTGAAAAAAACTTCTATGGAGCTAGTGTTGACACAGCATCACCGACCAGCGATGTAGAGGGCGATGCTGTCGAAGGGTGGAAAACAGAGAAGATGAATGGGACTTTTCCTACCGTGAAGCTCTAGTCGTGTGTCAGCATCTTGTGGTCTACGGATTTGCGTATGTCCAGAGTGAACACGACATCGTTGTGGTCAGGGCACATGCGAGAGAGATGTTACAGGCAGAATTAGAGCAGCCAAAGATCTCGGTATTCTTCACTGCGGAGAGTGGTGTAAAAGTCACTTCACCCCTGAACTCAAGGGTGTATTTGCCGGGATATCGGATCAGTCTTCCGCAAGTGACTACCCGTAGCTGCGGAACAAGCGGGTGGAGATAGAGATAACCTCGAGACTCTTACTTGAAGTAATGGCGCAGCTTATATAAGTGGTTGACTTGGTCGTGGCTTCGAAACCCACTCACGTAGAAACGGCATATTCTTTTTTGATGTTTCACCTCATAATCTACCAGCTAAATCTAGGTTTTGCACAAAGCACCGCCTTTCGATAATGTTTTGTGCTCCTCATTATAAGAACATGAACAGTTTTCGTGTACTAATGGTGCCTTTATATCGTTAGCAGATTGAAGTACGAATTCAGATATTGTTTAGACATATTGCAGAATTCGCTTTTGGTTGAGGCGTGGCCCATAAATTCGGGCGTTTAATCCGCTCGCAAGCGATATCCTTGACAGCATATCGAAATACCAGAAGTAGCAAATATTGATCGACAAGAAGTCGCAGAATGTCTCGAAACTGAGGTGAGCGAGTGCAGCGGGGCTGTCGTAGCTATTTGCTTCAAGAAAGCTAAGCCAAGGTCACCGTCCTTCGTTCTACGCCAGAACCAATACGAGTGAAGCAATCCGCTTCCTCCAAGAGTACCCAAAACCGTATACAAGGCAAATACACTCTTCCGTTCAGAACTGAAACTGTAATTTTTTGCAGCAGAGCCACCTATATTTAAAACCTAACTAATATGTATAACTACTGGTAGTCCCGTCACGTAGTGGCTTCTTTTTACGGTGTAGCCACACCGTTGTGGGATTACACCGACTTGTGTAATCCACACCTTTGCGGTCACACCATCTTGTGTGACCCACCTTTTCATACCAGGGTACGTGTAGCCCGTCACACTCCCCCCCATCAAAATTGCGAATACCCACAATCCACAATTAACTGTTGCCTCATACGAGGCTCGCATGTCTTAGACACCGTTAAATGCCTAGGACCGTTTTAACACATTCTCTGCTCAATGAGCCCTGTGTCTATGACACGAAAAACATCCAGCCTAGCTGGTTCCGAGGGCGCCCGCAGGTAGAGCCCTTCCCCGTCTTTTGCACGGGTGCATCTCTGAACAGTACGTCCGCGGCTTCAGGGGAAGCACATTCCAAGCCCTCGGCAACCGAGCGCAACACACCGCGCCCGCCACGTGCGACAAATTTTCTCCTCGAGGAGTTGGAGGAAGTCGACTACGAGTCAAATACTTTTTTCCCAGCATGGGAAGACAAGGAGGGCGAGGTGCGCCAACGGCACGACGAGAGCCCTGCTCGAACCTTGAACACCGTGCTGGTTTTCCGACCTCTCGACTTCCGGGGGAAGTGATACTATTATCATACGCCTCAACGGGGCACAGGAGCTGCCGTTGGAGGCTGCCCACAGCGCGGCTCTTAGCGCTCGTATCAATGATCGGTCCAAGATCCTCGTGTGGAATACGGCTTTTGCTTGGTGGATCCCACTACTCAAGCAAAAGGCGCGATCATTCGATCGTTAGGCGTCTGCGTAGTTGGGCCGCAGGCCACTGCACAAGCTGAGCTTGACCAGCGAAAAGCTCTCCGAGCTCGTTTTTTGGCACCTCAAGAAATCCCAATGGATAGTTACCTCGTTCGACTTCGCGCTTAAAGAGGAGGCGCTCCTGCACTCGCAATGCGGACCATCCCTCTTGTGATTAGCACCCACCCGGTGTTCTACGTGGGCTTGCTCAAGCCGTACCGATTCTTGTCTGGATGTGGTCACACCATGCCCATCTGGTGTGACACGCACCCCTGTTACCAGGGTATGTGTAACCCCGTTACACTCCCCCCATTAAGATTGAGAC